AGGTAATTAATTATTTATTATTTAATTTTTTTGCAGTAGTTTGTGAAATTTTTAGCGGGTTATTTGCACTTCAATACCCCAAAGCTTCATCCTTTTATAACTTTGATACCCTGTGAAGTTCAATTTTGAGAACTTGATACCCCAAAGTGCAAAGAAGTTACTTTTTTTGTTCAAGAATATCAACACATAGAATTTTGAGAACTTGATACCCCAAAGTGCAAAGAAGTTACTTTTTTTGTTCAAGAATATCAACACATAGAAAAGTAAATGATAAACAAATTTCCTTAACGTTTCCTCTTTTTTTTTTAATTACAGTATGGGGAGATTGAGCAACATAGTTAAGGTTTTGGGGGTATCAAATTGTTAAACTTACGTCAATTGTCAAAATAGAACTTCAGCATATCAAAAATGGGGTATCAAATTGTTAAACTTACGTCAATTGTCAAAATAGAACTTCAGCATATCAAAAATAAATTAATGGCTGAAATTTTGGGGTAGTGAGGTGCAAATAAGTTAACTTTTAGGATTGTCGGTTGTGAGTTGCTAAAGTCAGATGCTTTCTGTGTAGATGGCTACTTTGGCTAATTATTTTGGACTTGGACAGCAAAGGCACAGGTGACACTCTCTAGCTCTTCCTATATTTTGTGTTCCTTTTAGGAATTTTAGGTAAGATTTTTGATATGGAAATTGATTAATTTACAGGAGCTTGGATGATGTTAGAATGAATTTTGAAGTCCTCAAATATTGCGCTACAGTTCTGTTCTTGGTACGCATTAATCCCATCTATATTTTGATTCTAGCTACTCCATAACTGTGGGATTTCTTTAATCGAGATTACTCCTTTTATCTGTTCCTGTATTATGCTTTTTCAATGTTGTCTATGTCACCTTAGTCCTCTTTGTTATATTTAGTAAACGTTAAGTAATGTGTTCTCAAGTAAAAATATCATTTCAAGTTTACTATATTTGGATTCCTTATGCGTAATCAAACAATTAAAAGCAAGGGTGTCTAGTATGCTATGCAACTTTTGCTTTTGGGTGGGTAAACTAGAAAAATGTATGCTTGAGGATGTGTGTGAGGTGTGTGCGTATGTTCGTGTGGTTTGTGAGCGTGTGCAGATAAACTGTTCTTGATTCATTATCTTCCTGTTCATGTTTTGTTCTAGATCTATTATTGATCAGGATCACAGCCACATAGACTAGTAACACAAGCTACTTTGAAGTAAGATCATTATCACATTAATTTCTATGACAACCATCATATTACAGGCGCGAACCTTGGTTCAACCTAGTTTATGTTACTGGGTTATGTTACTGTGCAACTGATCAACCCAATTCTGCCTGAGCAAGCTTTGAGCTAACCTAAATGGATCACATCAGAAATTAATGCAATAGAGGCTAGTCTAAACTTGAACAGGATCAACCCCTGTCTCTGTACAACCTCCAAAAGTTTATATAAGCGGCTGCTGGCTGTTTAGGCAAAATTTGCCCCTCTCATCTTTCCCTTTTTTGTATTCCCTCAAGCATATATCCAATCTAGTCTTATTCCAGTACTAACATAAGTTCTTCATATTTAAAAATAAGACTAGTGACTTTTGTCAATGAACTCAGCAATCTTTCTCTTCCCTTATTCAATGGGATTGATGCTAGTTACAATATGGATTTTGCTTTGTAATTCACCAATGTTTAACCAATTTCATTGACACATCCTCTGGACTCCTCTAATTTAAACAAGGCTATAAGATCTCCACTTTTAGTATTATCATGATCTTAAGGCGGTCAAAGATTTTTAACATGTTTAAATGAGTTTCCACATGTTTCACGTTGATCGCAATATCAATGACGCCTATACATATTGGCTTGGTGGCTTTAGTTTTGTTTGAGCAAGGCCCTGTATTCTATTTGATAGCATTGACACATTTAGCTGTGGATGTAACAATATCTTTTATAATTTTTGCAGGAATCAAGTCTTCCGGATGTATTTTTGGCCAATACTTTGATAAGTGAAAATACTGTTCAAAGAATACCAGATAATGAAATTGCCTCTCCCAGTAGAGCTAACCCAATACTTGCTGAGGCTGAACCTTGTATTCCTCTACCAGATGATAATGCTTCCGACTTAGTGACTCATATTGGGCAAATGGTCATAGATTCTTCAGAAAGAAATGCTACCGAGGAAACAAGCCCTTCAGTACAATCACCTGAATCATGCGCTCCCATATTGGTCTCGGAGGCCTCTAGTCATTATGCTGGATTCTTGGCTCCCGATGAAATTTCTGTTGACTTTATTAGTGCATCACAAGTTCCTCTTTATAACTATGGATACAGAATGCTTCTACTTCATAGAGATTCTCCTCTCCAGATTTGTTCTTTGGGGATAAGGGTCCAGTTTGGGATTAGTAGCAAGTATTTTGACCATGCTGGTCGACCAAAACTGAGTATTGTGGTCAAGGCGCCAGCAAATTTATGCCAAGTATTGGAATTCTGCGATCGCGTTGCCCAAAAATTGGCTTTGGATTCTGGTAGCAGCTCTGATTGGAGACCTGTTATAAAGAAGGATGTATACTCAAATTCTTCCAGCATTCGGTTGCAGTAAGTTCTCTCTCTCTTATAATATTGATTATTACGCATCTAGAGTTAGTCTTTAGGTAATAAAATGATCTTTTTGTTTACGGATAAGCTAACAATTACAAAATTAGATAATTCCCAAAGTTTGAGCGGGCCACTCTCTGGGAATTATTGTTTCTTCAGAATATTGATCCTTAAGAAGTAGCATTGTAAAGCCCTTGGTTAATATCTTCTGTTTTCTAGCTGATGAGGATATTCCCTTTTTTCTGGGTTAATGCACATCGACACCCTGATGTATTGTTGTTTTGCACTGACTACCCCTGTAGTTTAATTGTTGCAGACAGACGCTGTGGGTTAAATATTTTTTGACCCTTTTAGCCCGGTAAAAATATTGGTAGATATGGGTGAAATTAGCGAGTCTGAGGGTAACAGAGTCGAAAAATTATTTAACCCAGGGGTTCTATCTGCAACGATAGAACTACATGGATAGTAAGTTAAAAAGGCAATGTACTACAAGGGGTCTATATTCAGTAACCCTTCTAAGTATGGTATTTACAGTCTCATATTAGTATAATTTTATACATGTAACTTATTAGCTACGATATAACCTGCTGAAATTTTTGATATTTTACAGCATACCCACAATAGCAAATGGTGATGCTGCTATCTACTCAACGGAAATATACAAGAAAGAGCCATCTGGGGACAACCAAAAGCTTGTTTTCAGCAGATTAGATATCGCTGTGCTCGAGCAACTCCTTGTTCCTGGAAGTATAATAGATGCCTATTTCTCTGTAGACGTGTATGATTTCCAGCAGAATGCTGGCATCCGGTTGGTAGCGAAAAGGCTAACTGTTCATTCCTTGTAGGTTCATCATAATTGTTTCAATTGTAAGGGGAAATTTCAATGTGAGCATGTAAGTTATCCGAGTGATTTGTATCGTCTTTAAAAAAAAAAATGTATATTAGATCTTGTAAAACCTAATGTATTCCTTTATTATCGATAAGTTTCCATCAGTTGTTGATTCTGCTGCTCATTTAGATCATATGTTTCTGACAATTATATGGGTGAAATTTGACGCAGCTTACATATAAGACTGTCCATTAATAATATAGAAGCATTGACACCAAAAGACCAAATTTGATTTGATTTTTTTTTTAAATTTCGATATGGTAAAAATCTACCTAGCTTTTTGACCAACATTTTCTAAATTGTTCTTTTGAACATAATCCTCGTCTTGTACGTTACAAATTTTCCAATTTTCCTAGTTTAGTTCGAAAATGTTGAATTCATTCGATAACAATTTGGCTAAGTTGCACTTAAATACCCTATAGTTTCACTAACCTTGCACTTAAATGACCTCTATTTTAAAACCGAGCAAATAAATACGTCAAAGTATTTAAATATTAAAGATAAATGTCACAATATTAAAAATGTAACTTTTAGAAACTTTACAATATTTAAGTGAGGTCATTTACGAACTGAGGATATTTATATGCAACATTGGGTAAACAAGAGCACATCGAAGTGTAATATTTTGAAACTTTAAGATAATTATCCGCAATATTTAAATACTTTAGGGTATTTATTTGCTTGATTTTAAAATACATGTCATGTAAATGTAAGGTAAGGCTGGTGAAACTATATGACATTTAAGTGCAATTTAGCCTAATAATTTCAACATATTTGAGACCAAAGGATATCTATGAGTTAGAAAAGGAGAGAAATATATAGAGAAATATTGCTACAAGAACTGGTAATATTGTGGCTTCTTCAGCATATTAATCATGGGGCTGGCAGATGGTTATCTCTAATATTTTAAAAATTGTCTTTGAAAATCATTAAAATTGCTATTAGGTTTTTCAACTCCTTTAAGTTTTTGCAATTAAATTCTTAAATCGTTCAAATTGCTACCAGACCTCTCAATTCTTATACGTAGTTTTAAAGTACTTCTTCGAATCAAGCATAGCAGTATATGAGAACAAGAATTGGATAAATTTCAATGATTTGAGATTCCAATTTTCAAAGATAAGGGACTAATGTCAAAAGTATTTTTTTCAATGTTTTGTTTCCCAACGTTTCAATCTCATTTCACTTTGATACCATCTAGACTCTATGAGATATTTTTTTTGTTAAATATTAGCGGCGTTCAGCAACTGGCTAACAATGTATCTACGTGTATCACATGCTAAGGGCGTGATACAAATTTAGCAGAAAATTTGACGGAATCTAGGAAGGGGTATCAAGGTGAAATGAAATTGAAACTCTCGGGAGTCAAAATGTCATAGAAATCCTTTGAGGTATCAAAGTGGAACTGGCTTCAAAGTGTCGGGCAAGCAAGGTGTTAAAAAATACTTCGCGGTATCAAAGTGTAAAAGAGGTAAACTTTGGGGCACCACAGTGAAAATAAGCCAGAAGGACACAGGAACGCCCTCCTCTCTCTTTCTCGCCGCGTCTCGAGCTCTCCCCCCTTTTTTGTCCCGATGGCCAGAGAGTTGATTCAACATTCTCATCATCATCCCATAATCCAAATTCAATCAACAATGCCCAAAATCTCTTTTTGGATCTTGGATTTATAAAAATATAAACTTACCAGTAAATAACCTCATCGAAAACCCTTCTCCTCCTCCGAACGAAAATGGCGACTGCTCTTCTCACAATTTCAGCAGCAGCACCGACCGCAGCAGCCTTCTCTTCAACCACCAGAAATGGGAGCCACCTTCTCTCAACCTCCTTCCCAAAAAAGCCCCTCTCTTCAGAACCCGTTTTCAGATTCCTCAGCTGCTCCAAAAACCCAACTTCTCGTCCCTTCAGCAAAAAGGTTAGTTTATCTCGAAAACCCATATCATTTTTTCCTCCGTTTAATATTCTTATTTGTTTAATTTGTTCAGACACTTGTAACCCAAATCTCACAATACCCAACTTCCCAATTGGAGTCAGAGTCCAAAGAAACTCTCAACAGGAGGCTTGTATTGTGCGCATTGGTGTCTTCTGTGTGTTGCTTGGCTTGTGGAGCTGCTCTTGCTGCTGCTGATTCCATTAGAGCTTCTGGATTTGGTTTGAAGGTTGCTACTGCATTGAGGAGTCTGGGTTGGCCCGATGAAGCTGTGGTCTTTGCGCTCGCGACTCTTCCTGTTCTTGAGCTCAGAGGAGCTATTCCTGTTGGTTATTGGATGCATCTTCATCCTATGCGGCTCACTGTTCTTTCAATTCTTGGGTATATATGTTCAGTTTAGGCATTTGCCCATTTATTCTATTTTCGTTATTTATGGAGGCAATTGGTGGTTTTAGCATCTTTTTAATTCATGGGCATGCTTCAGTTTTATCTATCACCATGTAATTTTTCCAACGCAAAAACGAGTGTAGCAATGACTAATTTTTTTTAGGGAAGAAATGAGACTGTTACATTGATTGTGAGTATACAGTAAGAGAGGGAATAAGAAGCGAGTGCGTCAGTAGGAGATTATGTGTTGTTATTGTTGTTGATGATAAAAAGAGCCAGAATTGATTGAGATGGTTTCGTCATGTGCAGGGTAGGCTGATAAATGCACCATTTAGGAGAAGTAATGAGATTATAGTTAATAGGCCAGAGAGAAGGATATGGTAATAGTTGAACTTAGTGGAGGAGATATGCCTTAAAAGAAATGAATGGAAAAATATGATTTATGTAGCCGACCCTAATTTGGAATAAAGGCTTCGTTATTGTAGTTAGTCTTCACATTTTCGGAGAAGTATATGAAAACCCAGTTTTAGGCAGTTAGGCTTAGGTGCATACTTTTGATTATTATGTCCCAGTTAAATGCTTAGTTTTAAGTGAATTTGATGATAATTATGTTGAAAACTTGGTTTGAAACTCATAAAACTAGAATATTAAGTAACGATTTGGTGAACTTATAATGTACAGATGTCCATACCATGAATTTGAAAACTGGATTGCTTTATGATTCATAAAATGTCACTATCTAGGATATCCTTTTTGATCGATGATTCTTCCTTCAGGAACATGGTTCCAGTGCCCATTATCATACTCTACTTGAAAAAATTAGCATCATTCCTCTCTCAGAAAAATGCCTCAGCTACCAATTTGCTCGACCACCTGGTTAAAAGAGCCAGAGAGAAGGCAGGGCCAGTGGAGGAGTTCCAGTGGCTGGGACTTATGCTGTTTGTTGCTGTTCCTTTTCCTGGAACAGGAGCTTGGACTGGGGCTTTTATTGCTGCTATTCTTGATATGCCATTTTGGTCGGCGGTTTCTGCTAATTTCTGTGGGGTTGTTCTTGCTGGGCTTCTGGTAAATTTGCTTGTGAATCTTGGAATCAAGTACGCTGTTGTGGTCGGTTTTCTTCTTTTCTTTGTATCAACGGTCATGTGGAGTATTTTGCGGAGATTCAAGAAGTCATTAAACTCAACCTGATGGTAATTGCCTTCTTCAAATTTTTGACATATTTTAACATGATGCTTCATTCGAGTCTTGAGCTTCTATCTTGATTTGTAGGCATTGTTTTTTGGCTTATTTAAGTTTGACAACTTGAAAGTTTGCCATCAGAAAAAGTATAATTAAGAGTCAAGAAAGAAAGTTTTCTTATATAATCTGAGGATAGAAGACTGAACAACAGTGCAAACTTACTCATGTCAATGATATTTAATCTCAAATAATGGGAATGTATGGATCCACTTAGAATTATGTTAGGCTGGAGAGGTGTGTATGTGTTGTCGAGTAATTTGTAGTAAATGCTTAGTTTCTTGCTTGCATTATCTTTTCCACCTTTAAATCACCCTTCGCCTAATATCTAATTATGTATTAACTTTTGTGAGAAAGTTGTAAAGAACATTCAGAAAGTAAGTGTTATCTGCGCGTTGCATTTATATGGTCTAGTTGCTGGCATATTTTATTTTGATATCTTGAATTATGTGGTTCTTTTATGAAATCAGAAATTCACAAACCTTAATAAAACCCAATTTTGCTTTACATGCTAAAGTTCAACTCTGCGCTCTATCCATGAGTTTCATGCCCATTTTTTGCTCTCAAGGAGGACCATGACCTGTGACCCTTTATATGCTATGGTATGCTTAATGGTTCTTGGAGGAAATTGCTCCGGGGGCTAACAAAAAAGACAGGTGCTTGTGACTATTGTGAATTTGTTGTTACTAATAGACACATAAAAATTCATGAAGTTTCACTTTTGAAGGTGGTCGTGTTTGTGCATTATTCACCAACGCATAAGATTGTTTTCCTTCTTAACGACAGAGATAAATAACCAAGTAACTAGCACAGAAAGTGGCAATTGGAATTTGTTGAGGAATTTGGATAGCTCTAGAATTCTCGTATAGGCAATGCGTTCCACTAGTATATCTAATTTTATACTTAGATTACTAAGTGATGCCTATTACATAGTTGATGTTTGAGCAAGTGATGAAGGCTCGACCAGTTTTACTCTTTATTCAAGCTTGCTTATTAGACATGCATTCAGCTCGAGCATAAATATGAGCATGATAATTTAACAAGCTGCTCTGTTGTATTTGTCTTTCTATTTTCAAGTGATATGTTTTGGCAGTTGAGAAGAATACCACCTGATGTGAAATCATGAACAAGTATGATTTATGGCCAACATCGAACTAATTTAGTTCACGCAAATTTTGGAATTCGGATAAACTGTCTAGAACTTTTTGGTGCATTAATCTAACAAGAGAACGAGCGTTTGGTTTTTGCCTGCCTTGATAAATAGTATATTTAAGCAAAATTGTGTGCGCATGTACCGCATTCGCCAATTACTAGTGTTATAAAATGTAATTGTCCTGACAATTCTCTTTGTTTCTTTTTTGCAGGTAGTGAACGGAAGTAAAGAAAAGAAAGCAGCAGCTTAATCAAACTTTTAATCTTTGGCAGCAGAATAATCGGTATCTGGCTCGATGATACGTCAGACTAACAACACGGGCAACTAGAAAGTGGTATGCTATGTTTCAAGAGATTGATAACTTCATATTTGATTCTTAACAAGGCATATTTTCCTTTTTCGGGTAGAAACATGGAAACTGAAATTAAAATGCTTCGGGAGTTGGTATGTATAGTTTTCAAGCCTTTATTGTGTTTTCTCTGGATCACGTGGATCTGAGGTCAGAAGCTTTTCATTGAGGAGAGAACTCGACTTCTTTTGATGTAGAAATAATTTCAAATATTTGAAAGAGGAATTACTGGCTGTTATCTAGTTTATGGGAAAGTAAGATAACAATTGTTGTCTTCCCCTTATTTGGTTTGTTTAAAAGACTACTCAAGGAGAGCAACGTGCATATACTGAGAGTCCATTTTGATGAGAATATGTTGTTTTTGTTTGGAAGTCATGGATGCTAAGTACAACTCTGTTCATCTTAGGGAACATTCATTTTGACTGATCACATGAGATCACAATTCTTTGTCATAGACTTTGTCCGGTATGAAACTTAACATTTTGCCGGAAAAAAAAAAGAAAAAAAGGAGGAATTTTTTTTTAGTCCGGTGGTTTATTTAACACTAAAAGTTGGCTGTATTTCCTGTTTTTGTTATGTGTTTTAGTCAATGATAAAGCTTAAGTGCTAACTTTGATATGGGATCCTCTTTAAATTTTGTTGCATTATACATTAGCTTTTCTAGATGCAACCCATTTTGAATTCCATGTGTGTGCACTTAGCCTTTTAAAAAAAGAAGTTGTTCTTATCTATTTAAAAGTTTTTCATTGTATGAAAATTTTAAATCTTGTATAACCCAAAAAATAAATCAAAATAGGAAAAACGCTACCGAAATATGAAATTGATTTTTATACCAAAGTAAACTCAGCCTCAGTCAAGTGACTGAAGCCTATAGGAGCGGATATCTGGACTTGAGAAATTCCTTAATAATGATATACAAATAGCGTTGATGTTATTAATGTGTGAGTATAGTTGCACTTGCACGTTGGATAGGCTAAGAAAGAGTTATGAATTTAAAAAAGGAGTTAGAGCCAATATCTAGTAATTATATTTTTTGGGTTAAAATTGGTTCCTAGGTTCTAGTTAAAGCTCGTTAACTCTCGGTTGGGCCTGATTACTCATGGATGCCTGTATTTGGTTTATTTAGAATTTAGATTTTAGTCCCTCGAATCTCAATAATAGCTCATTTTGGCCCTCACTAAAGAGTCTTGCAATTTGGTCCCCCAATAACCAAAATACCCTTAGTTATGATTTCTATCCTATTAAAAAAAAGTTATTTGCACTTTGGTACTCTAAAGTTTACACCTTTTTAACTTTAGTACCCCCAAAGTTTCTCGACACTTTAATACCCTAAACTTTACACCTTCAAATTTATACCTTTACACTTTGATATTCCAAACTTTTAGTTTGACACTTTGATACCCCAAACTTTAAGGTATCAAAGTGAAAAAATATGTATGCGTTGAGGCATTAATGTTAAAAAATGTGAAATCTTCGAGGTATGAAAGTCTAAAGAATAAAGGGAAAATTGCTTGAAGGGAGCAGATCTCTTTGAGTCATGCATAAAGCACCCCAAGAAAAAGCCAACTCCCCAAAAACACTTAAACCTGAAAACCATTCTTTTTACCCCCGACCCCTCCAAGTTTACACCTCAAAGGAGTCTAGGATTTCTAAGTGAGTTTTCTGGTTTTGTCTGCTGAGATGTTCTTTTAGATTTTTTTTTGAAGCTAATTTGGTTGGATTTTAGCATGAGTTGAGAAATATTCTTGATCAAGAGATGAGTTTTGTGGAACGGAGGAGGTGAGCACGAAAACAAGCCCACTTTCTTCTCAGGAGACAAAAAGAAGTTCATCAATCCCATTAATTGTCGCTGCCGCCGCTGCCTCTTCCGAAACCGGAAGTCCAAACGTCCTTCCCCTTCGGACCAGACTGCCATGTGCCGGTTTAAGAACGCAGTTTCTGTGACCCATGTCAGCTCATTGTGTAATAGGAGAGGGGCATCTCACCTGTCCTCTCCAACGGTCTTATATTTTGGGTCCTTAAGATATTTTTCGTCTGTTTAAACCCTCCTCCAATCTCAACTACCCCATCATCTCCTTCGTTATTGAAACCCTAATCTCATCCAAACCTGTCAGTTGCTTTATCGGAACCCTGATCACAAATAAGCAATGATATATCACAAATAAATAACTATCTCACAAAATACAAATTTATCACATTTAACTATTAGATATCACAGATAAAATTGATAGATCATAGATAAATAACTATATATCACAAATAACGAATAACTATCTCACAAAATAAAGATTTATCACACTTAATGATAGAACGACATGGATAGCAAGTTCAACCTGGCAATACTAAAAGGGATCTATCTGCAATTAACCCAAAAAAAATGTGAATTTACATTCCAATAGGTCGTGTGATTATCCCCATACAGATCTGGACTAAATTAATATTTTTTCAGGCAAATACCAAAATAGAGAATCAGATTGTATCTTCATTAAATAATTCCTAAACATTTTTGGGGAATGGAGGGAATTTATCTGCCAATCAGCTTCAATTCTATTGAGATCCTCTCCAAATGAAACCCCCAAAATCCAAAGTTGAGGAGTGCTAAACTAATTTGCTTGTTCAATCTTTTGTTGCCAAACATTGATAGTAGCTTTTGCTCTGTTAACGTATCAGCATTAGATTGTGCAATATATTTGGGATTGCTCATTAATTCCCCATTGATTGCCCATTGATTTTCTTCCTTTTTATTTCTTTCCTTTTTAGCTGGTTGATGTATATATATATACACGTGTAATCCCATTGTACAATAACAAGAAAGTGAAGATAATTTGCTCTCATCAAACATGGTATCAGAGCTCTGCTCTTAAATCAAATCACCGCCTCCAATCTTCTCTCTCTCACGTTTCCAGCGTCGACGACCGCACCAGACCCGCGATTCCTCCTCCGGCCAGAGCTTCGCCGCCATCTCGTCGCCGGCGAACAACTTTTCGTCCGCATCCCTGCCCTCCCCGACAAACCCAGATCCGAACCGCCGTCCAGAACCGCCCAGATCCGCACCAGAGCTTCGCCGCTCAGCCGGTCGCCAGCAAACGCCTTCCCGTCGCCCAGAATCGACCAGATCCTCGCTTTCCGTCGCTTAGAACCGACCAGATCCGCGCCTTTCGCCGCTCAGAATCGACCAGATCCACCTCCCAGAACCGAGAGCTTCGCCGGTCGTCAGCGAACTCCTCCGGCCAGATCCGTGCTTCCCGTCAGATCCGTGCTTCCCGTCGCTCAGAACCGACCAGATCCGCTCTTCTTCTCAGCTGTCACACATAAAAGTGTGACTTTTGTGGGTTTGGTGGTCTTATGTTTGGTTCTTTTTTTGGGTTTGTTGATATGGAGAAATCTGAAATATTTCGTCCTATTGCTGTTATTTTGGATGGCTCTAATTTTTGGGTTTGTTGATATGGAGAAATCTGAAATATTTCGTCCTATTGCTGTTATTTTGGATGGCTCTAATTATACTCTATGGTCTCAACGAATGAAAAGCTTCTTAATTGGACGCAAGCTTTGGCGCATTATTACTAGCGATGTTGTTGAACCAGTCCGAGATGCTGATGAAAACAATACCAAGTATGCAGAACGTCTTGAAGATTGGGATAACAAAAATCATCAGATAATTACCTGGTTCTATAACACCTCTATTTCAGCCATTCATATCCAGTTTGCTGATTTTGACACTACAAAAGAAATTTGGGATTTCTTGTCCAATCGGTACAAAACTACAGGTCTTGCACACTATTATCAACTGCTCACAACTCTTGCCAGTCTTAAACAAGACTCCGGACAATCTGTTAATGACTTCCTTGCTGTCATTCAACCTATATGGAATCAATTAGCACAAGCTAATATCAGCGATGATCATCTTCGCCTTATTCAGGTTCTCATGGCCCTACGTTCTGAATATGAATCTGTTCGTGCTGCTCTGTTGCATCGTGATCCTTTACCCTCTTTGGATGCTGCTGTTAAAGAAATCTTATTTGAGGAAACACGTCTTGGTTTGATCAAATCTCCTTCACCGGAAGTTGCTCTTGCTATCACTCGGCCACGCTCTGCATCTGGCTCATCCTTGTGCAAGAATTGTAGAAATACTAGACATACATTTGCAAATTGCCCTACTATTGAGTGCAGATACTGTAACAAACATGGTCATATTTTGGAAAATTGTCCAACCCGTCCACCTCGTCCTCAAGGCACTTCAACAAAATCTTAGAGGTAGCAGCTGTTCCAATATGGGTAATAGACATACAATTACCATCAGCAGTTTGAATGGGTGGATTAGAGGTAGCAGCTGTTCCAATATGGGTAATAGACATACAATTACCATCAGCAGTTTGAATGGGTGGAAGAAATTTACTAGGAGTTTTATTAGATAAGAGAGAAATTTGAGAAGTCATATGATTGCAACAAGCAGAGTCAAGAAGCCAAGAATCACCTGTAGTGACAGCTAATGCAGTGGAAGATGAAGGATTGGAGGATATCACCTGTTTGAGAAGAGCTTCAAGATCGCTAATAGTAAGAACAGAGGAAGGAGACTCATCAGAAGGAGCAGTAACAGCAGCAGCAGAAGAACTAGCCTTAGAGAAAACACATACTTGGGATTTAGTGGATCTTCCTTCAGGCAAAACTCCTATCGGATGTAAGTGGGTTTACAAGATTAAAACTCGTTCTAATGGATCTGTCAAGCGTTATAAAGCTCGTTTAGTTGCTAAAGGCTATACTCAGGAATATGGCATTGATTATGAAGAAACATTTGCTCCTGTTGCTCGTTTAACCTCTGTTCGTAGTCTTTTAGCTGTTGCTGCAGTAAAACATTGGCCCCTTCTTCAGATGGATGTTAAAAATGCTTTTCTCAACGGCGATTTGGAAGAGGAAGTTTACATGCATCCTCCTCCTGGTTATTCTCATCCTCCACAAAAAGTTTGTCTTCTTCGGAGAGCTTTATATGGTCTTAAGCAAGATCCGAGAGCATGGTTTGCAAAATTCAGTTCCACTATTGCACGTTTTGGTTTTGCTTCTAGCCCTCATGATTCGGCCTTTTATTTATCCGTCGTACTAAGAAGGGTATTGTTCTGTTGTTACTTTATGTGGATGATATGATCATTACAAGTGATGATTCTGTGACCATCTCTGACTTACAAAACTACCTCAGTCAACAATTTGAGATGAAAAATTTGGGGCCACTCAGTTATTTTCTCGGGCTTGAAGTCTCTTCTTGTTCAGATGGCTACTATTTGTCTCAAGCCAAATATGCTTCTGATTTGCTTTCCAGATCTGGTCTCACTGATTCAAATACTGCCTCAACACCATTGGATACCAATGTTAAGCTAACTCCATTTGATGGCACACCTCTTCCTGATCCTACTTTATATAGACAACTTGTTGGTAGTCTTGTTTATCTAACCGTGACTCGTCCTGATATCGCCTATGCCGTGCATGTTGTCAGTCAATTCATGGCT